GTGGGGGCGATATGCTGACTCTGTAAACCGCTTAGAGAAGGCTGAAAGCCCTATGAAGCGGTATATAAGTCTAACTGCTATTGCTATTGCTATAGTCATAAATGGGGAGAAATAGATACTAGGAAAGAAGAGAAGAATAACAGTAATGCATTCTTAGTAAATTATTGACAGTGTTGTGAAAAATCAGTTGTTAAGCAGAGTGATAAAACTGTCAGGAAAAAACTATTCTTGTGTCTAGTTGTTCTGATGTGCAGTGCCCTATAGCATCGTTATGAGGACAGACGTTCAAACAATTTAAGTGCAGGATGTGAGGGGACTGTAGATATTTTCACGCCCAGTACTGGGTTGTGACCTACAGGTTGGGGAACCCCTGTTCTAGTCCAACCCCCTGCTCAAGCAGGAGACTCCATAGTATACCATTTCAGACAAATGGTTGTCCAAGCTCTTCACACTTAATGTTGCCATGAAACTCCGTGTTTCTCATTGTTTTGAAGGACCAGTTCAGACCATGTATGTCTTTCATGCTTTTGTTTGCACTGCCTATCCCCAGGCAATCTTGAGATCAATTATCCTGAGTCTAAATCAATTAGACTTCATATTGCGGTCATAGTCCATGCAGATAAAGAACTGTAAGCCTTTAATAAATCATGTTTGATTGTCACATGCCAAAAATTGCTATTTGTAGTTTGGCTTGATAAATAGTAGAAGACTAGAAGAGCAAACAAGGAGGAGGGGGTGTCGGTGGATAAGAACCATGCGCTTGGGCTCCAAACTAGATCCATTACTTAGCAATAGCAGAGACCTGATACACTGCAGTAATCCTCTGGCATAATTCAGATTGTGAAACTTTCCTTTGTGATATTAAATCGGGGGATTTCCCAGATGACCTTTCCTCTTTCCCTGCCTCCATGATCCAGATTTCCCCAATTTCTTTTGCCAAACCATGGGAATTCCTGTCCACCTGCAGACCAAGGACTTCTGGCCTCACTCACCCGACTCTTGAATTGCTTAATAGACTGTGTTATTTCCCAAAACTCAGCTGCTTTCTCAGGGTGGGGCTAGCCAACAACACGTTTGGAGGGAGGAAAATCAACATTTCATAAGCAGCTGCCCTGCATCACTGCTGTCAGTATCAAAGTAGCAGCAGAGAAACTGAAAGGCGGACGGAGAAAGAGAGGCAGGAATGCAGAAGGTTCGTCCACTCCTTTACATCGCCATTGTCCTTGGGGCACTTGGCACAGGTAAGCTAAAAGATTCAAGAAACACCTGATGATTTTCCTCCAGGTGCCCAGAGCAAGAATGTGCTTGAAGGAAGCTATTGGCTCTTGAAGCCTGAAACTTCTCAGACTTTTGTCCTGCTGGCAATGATGTCACAAGGGTTTAGGAGAAGGGTTGTCACATGAAAATAATGAAGTTTTAAAAGTTTTGTTTTTCCAGTTCCCCTGTTGGAATTCTTTGCTGGTCAATATTTGCTGCTTTCTCCTACTCTCCAGTCTTTGCTCCCTGTATTTTGCATAACTGCTTTTTTGACATCTTCTAAATAAAGGATCGATTGTCTATTTAACTTTAGCACGATTGCTATCCTAAAAAATAATAATCACAAAGTTAGAATAATGAAATGTCAGAGAGATGTTTCTATGAATTCAATAAAATTTGGGTGGATTCAAAATTTATCTCAATAGCAAGAGACCACTATATGGTTACATTTTATGTAACATTTTATGCATGGTAAATTTGTGTGTGTAAACTGTGACTTTGTACTTTCTGTGTTTTGTTACTTTCTATGTTTTTTTCTCCGTGCATCTTGCATTCATCATGTTAATCATAGTTCAATAAAAATTATTTCTAACTGCTTTTTGACATGCAAAAATATTTGGGTGGATGACTTATAATGGTTTTTCAATAAGGGGCCATTTTTAAGGAACAACATTCAGTGATGATAATGTGGTAGCCTACAGGCAACCTTATTTGACAACTTCTGTGCTTTATAGGCAATGCTTATGAAAAACAATCAAGAGATTGTCTCATAGAATCTTTGGCACTTGGCATCTAAGAGACGAGAAAGCCTTCAAAATGAATTTTGGGTTTTGAAATCAAAACCATTTCCTTTCCCTTCTGAACTGCACATTTGAAAAGCCACAAATGGGCAAAGATCTGTTTCAAAATCTGTTCAAATGCCTTGGATGTGTTTCAAAATCATTTAGGTGTCAAAATTGTGGACACAGTGTATCTTTCTGTTTATGAATCCTTTACACAGGCTTTTATATTTGAGGCATAAACAATAGGTTTCATANATTAACACTTCACATGGTCTTGATTATATCCCTCTGTTAATGCAGCCTAGAACTGTGTTGGCTTTTTTGGCAGCTGCAGCACACTGCTGGCTCTTATTTAAGTGATTGTCCATTAGGACTCCAAGATCCCTCTCACAGTTACTACTAGCAAGCCAGGTACACCTATACTATATCTGTTTTTCCTTGTGGTATTTTTCAATGCTAAGATAGGTAGGTAAGCCACACAAGGTAGGTAGGTAGGTGGAGTCATTGCAGCTCATCCTTTCACAGATAAGCACCAAATACCCTCATAAATAACATGTGAATTCTGGTGATTGTCTGCATTTTAACAGCAGTATTTGTGGTGCGTTTGTATGTCTTTTTGTGCCAAAATAGCCAAAGGACAGATAGAACATTGCAATGCAAACTCTACTATCTTTTCAACATGTGTGTACAGAATATATGAATGTAGCAAAGGGGTGGGTTTTGCATTGGTGCTCTGTCTTCTTTCTGATTTGATGCTTTCTCCTTTCCTACTGTATCGGTCCCATAGATCCCACCACAAATTGGATTACAAAAGTATCAAATGTGTCTACATTTTTATGGAGAATAGGATTGAACAGAAGGAATTATGATGACTAATTTGGAACCACTGATTTAGCAACAATTTGAGATGTAATCATTAGCTGGAGTCACAGAATAACAGAGATGGAAAGGACCTTAGAGATCTTCTAGCCCAGCTTTGCCCCAACCTTTCTAGGTTGGCAGTGCAGCATGGGAAGAGGGGGAGGAAGAAGGGATGGTTTTCTGTGAAGGGGTAGGAGTGTGCACAGCTTCATTTCTATGGCCGTGAATGGGGCTGTGCATGCCAGCCAGCCACTCATGTGGCCCAGTTGTGAATAGAAATAGAATGAAATGGAATAGAATTCTGTATTGGCCAAGTGTGATTGTAGAGGAGACACAAGGAATTTGTCTTTGGTGCATATGCTCTCAGTGTACGTAAAATAATAAAATACATTCATCAAGAATGAAAAAATACAACACTTAGTCATGGGTTACAAATAAGCTATCAAATCGTACTAGGAAACAAATAAAAACAATATAAATTGAAAGATACAAGCAATGTGGCTACAGCCAAGGTGGCGCAGTGGTTAGGGTGCAGTACTGCAGGCCACTTCAGCTGACTGTTATCTGCAGTTCAGCGGTTCTAATCTCACCGGCTCA